TGCCCAGGAAAGACCTAGGAAAGGAGAAAGCCCTGGTCACTCACCTCTTGCTTGGATGAATAGTGCAAACAGAAAATTAAAGTTAAGCCTGTCTTGTAAATTGTTTAAAGTTTAAAGTCATGCCTTGACACACAGATCTCCTTGGCAGAGGTAGAAAAAATACAGGCATGGCATTTAAGGAAACATTCTGACTGATCATTGGCTGACCACTAAATTATAATGAACCAAAGGTGACCCCTAGGAGACCAGGCTTGAAAACAAGAACATAAAATCAACAACAACAACAACAAAATATAGCAGAAAACTCAGTGTCTACACACTGTGGAGAATACAGATTTACAAATTAGCCTGGAAGAGTCACTAAGGAAATAAACAACAAGAAGAAAACAAAAACAAGAACAGAAATCCAAGAACAACCACCACCTCTGGAGTGGAGAGAGGGTTCTGATACTGGAGTTGTTACAATGCATTATCTAAAATGTCTGGTTTCCAATGAAAAATTACAAAACCTACCCAAAAAAGGCAAAGCATATCACATAAACAGGAATAAAAATTGTCAATAGAAATAATCCTTGAATACTCCCAAATGTTGGATGTACTAGACAGAATTTAAGTCTGCTATTCTACATACATTAAAAGAACTAAAATAAACCAGTGTCCAAAGAATTAAAGGCAAGGAAAGTCTGACAACTAGGTGTCATTACATAGAGAATATCTGTACAAAGATAGAAATTATTAAAAAGAAACTAATTGCAATTCTGGAGTTAAAAAATACAATGACTGAAATAAAAAAGTCACTAGGCAGCTACAAACAACAGATTTGAGGAAATAGAAGAAAGTATCAGCAGACTTGAAGATAGGCCAGTAAAGATTATCCAGTAAGAGAAACAAAATGAAGCCTGAATGGAGAAAAATGTGTAGAAATTCATACACCTGTGACATATCAGGAAAATTACCAATATACAGTGAATGGAAGTCCCAGAGAAGAGCAGAGAAATAAGGCCAAAATTATTGGAAAGAATAATGACTAGAAGAAGCTCAAGAAACTCCAATGAACTCAGAGAACCATACCTATCCACAGCAGAGTCAACTTGATGATTTCTCATCAGAAACCATGGAGGTTAGAAGACAGATAAGAGCTTCAAAATGTTGAAGGAAACAGATTGGCAACAATAATTCCATAACTAGCAAAACTTTTCAAAAATGCAGGAAAATCAAAAGATAAGCCTAGAATGGCAGAAAATGTTTGTAAAACATGCCTGATAAGGGACTTCTCTCAAAAATATACAAATAATTCTTAAGACTCAACAATATGTCTTCTTTGGAGAAATGTATGTTCATGTCTTCTGCCAATTTTTTTTACATGATTATTTGTTTTGTGTGTGTTGAGTTTGAGGAGTTTATAGATCTTGGATATCAGCCCTTTGTACTGTCATTTGTGAATATCTTCTCCCATTCCTTGGGTTGCCTCTTTGTTTTGTTGACTGTTTCCTTTGCTGTGCAGAAGCTTTTGATCTTGATGAAGTCCCAAAAGTTCATTTTTGCTTTGGTTTCCTTTGCCTTTGGAGACATATCTTGAATGAAGTTGCTGTGGTCAATGTTGAAGAGGTTAGTGCCTATGTTCTTCTCTAGGATTCTGATGAATGAATGAATTCCTGCCTCACGTTGAGGTCTTTTATCCATTTCAAGTTTATCTTTGTGTATAATGTAAGAGAATGGTCGAGGTTCATTCTTCTACACATAGCTGTCCAATTTTCCCAGCACCATTTATTGAAGAGACTGTCTTTTTTCCACTGTATATTTTTTCTGCTTTGTCAAAGATTATTTGACCATAAAGTTGAAGGTCCATATCTGGGCTCTCTACTCTGTTCCACTGGTCTATGTGTCTGTTTTTGTGCCATGCTCTCTTGGTGATCACAGCTTTGTAATAAAGCTTGAAATCAGGCAACGTGATGCCCCCAGTTTTGTTTTTCTTTACTATGGAGTATTATGCCTCCATCAGAAAGGATGAATATCCAACTTTTGTATCAACATGGATGGGACTGGAGGAGATTATGCTGAGCGAAATAAGTTAAGCCGAGAGAGAGTCAATTATATGGTTTTGCTTATCTGTAGAGCATAAGAAATAACATGGAAGACATGGGGAGATGGAGAGGAAAAGTGAGTTGGGGGAAATTGGAGGGGGATATGAACCATGAGAGACTGTGGACTCTGAGAAACAAACTGAAGGCTTTGGAGGGGAGGGGTGTGGGAGGTTGGGTGAGCCTGGTGGTGGGTATTATAGAGGGCATGTATTGCATGGAGCACTGGGTGTGCTGCATAAACAATGAATTCTGGAATACTGAAAAGAAATTTAAAAAATAAACAAATTTTTAAAATTTCATTGGAAAATAAAAAAAAAACCTCAACAGTGTAAAACAAATAACCCAATTAAAAAATGAATAAAAAATCTGGATACCTCACCAAAGAAGACATATATGTGACCAATAAACCCATGAAAAATTGCTCGATATCATCAGTCATTAAGGAAATGTAAATTAAATAGCAAGGTACCATTTCACACCCACTATGGCTATTATAATTAGAAAGACAGTTATTAGCAAATGTTGGAAAGAATATGGAGAAATTGGAACCCTCATGCATGGCTGGTAGGATTTTAAGGTATAGCCTTGAAAAACAGTCTGGCAGTTCCTCAAAAATGTTAAGTATAGGTTACCTTATGCCTCAACAATTTCACTCCTATTTACATACCTAAGGAAACTGAAAACTATGTCAGCACAAAATCTCATACAGAAGTGTTTTTAACTCTTGAGCAATTAGGTGGGTACACAAACACTGCTATTTGCTTAGATAGAAAAATGGAGGAGAAACAAGTGTGGATTAAGGGAAAGGAAATCTGTTCTGGAACAAGACGTAAATCTTTTTAAAGGTTTTCTTAAGGATCTGGGAAACATTTCTTTAACATATAACCAAGAAAGATAATATCCCAATCTCCTAGTTTCTGTGGGAAGGTAATAGCTTAATTCAGTGGAAACCTTGTTCCAAGTTGCAAAACTACCTTTCATCCTAAAGATATGTGAAGTCCTTATTTGCTTAAAAAACAAATCACTAACATTCATAACAGCATTATTCATAGAAGCATAGAAGTGGACTCACTGCCTATCAACTGACAAATGGATAAGCAAAATTTGGTATATTCATTTAGTGGGATATTACTGGGTAATAAGTAAGGATGAAATCCTAACAAGGGCTGCAATATGAGTGACCTTAAACACATTATGCTAAGTGAAGGACATCAGTTCAAAAGATAATATATTATGTGATTCAATTTTATATGAAATGTCCATGATAGGCAAATATATAGACAGAAAATATATTAGTGGGTGCCAAGAACTGGATGAAACAGGTGATGTGTGCAATTCAGGCAAGGAAGGGGAATGGAGATTGACTACTAGTGGGTCTGGGGTTTCATTTGGGGTGATAAAAATATTCTAAAATTACATTGTTATAAAAGTTACACCACTCTGAGAATATACTAAAAACCACTGAGCTGTGCATGTTTTATGTATTTGAATCACACCTCAATAAAGCTGTTTAATAAAACAAATTAAAAGAAAGAATTACAGCACAAAGTACTTTTTCTGATTATGATAATATAATAGGAAGATAAAGCAAGCAGTACAGTGGCTTATGACCAAGTAAAAGGTCTGGCTACTTCATAGAAATGTCTGGGTCTGAGTCTTCGTGCCTTGAAACCAACATTGTCAAGTTAAAAGAGAGCAAGTATCCCAGCTATGGTGACAATAATTTCACAGAACAATACACAATCAGAAAGCAGGGGTATGCTAGGGTTTAATTTTAGTCTTTGAATGAGGGAGCCATGCTAGCACTGATGGGAAGAAAGGGAAAATACCAGGAAGGAATATCATCTTTACGAGATTTGCAAATTGATCTTCACAATGTCTAATTAGAAATCTCCAACCACTTATTAATATGTTTGTATAAGTATGTGTTTATCAGTGTGGTGCTTTTCATATTCAGGATGGTACTGCATATATTTCTCCCTACTACAATCATGCCATCAGTGTCTATATGAATCAGAGAAGGGCTACTGATATCAATGCTATTATGTGTTGAAACACGACATGGGATCTAGGCCTGCTCTTAAGAGAGGCATGCTCCAGGGAGCAGAACTTGCCATAGAGTCTGGAGGCAATTACTCTAGAAAACAAGTATTGCCCAAATGGTATTTGGAAGTAGAGATCCAGGAGTTGAGACGTAGTTATTGGCACAATCTCTGGCTTGGGTCCAGGAGCCCAAAGGGCCCTAATAATAACATCTGTCCATGATACTTGGCTCTGGGCAGGTTGTCACCCTAGGCTTAAGGCAGCAGAAACATACCAGTATCTTGCTTCCTGGAGTATTGAATGAATAAGATAAGCATTGGTCTGTAATAAAAGTTAAAGTTCACTGATCAGAACTGGAGACTGATGTCAGAGCAGAACTGAGAGTCAGTCGACCTCTGGAATCCTGGAGTGATTGCCTTATTGAACCTTTCTTAAGATTTGAATGGTCTAAGTTCTGGGGAAGGGTGAAGGTGTTATGAGCCTAGGCCAGGTAGTTAGATCTCAGAGTCTGGAAACTAGTAACACTTTGACCAGGATCTCCACATTTTGAAAATGACCACAGCCTATGGTGACTAAAAGTGGCTCTCAAGGTTAAAGAAATAAAGACAGTAACCCTCTTATATGGTGTGTCCACATAAATGATGATCAGGCTTGTGGCTGGGAACATCTTGCTGATGAAGATCTGTAGCAGGAATTCTCTGGGTTGAGTGGCCTTTAACCATTAATTTTTGAGTTTAAATGTCTTTGAGGAAATTTTTGAGAACAAATATGGCCTAAAATTTAAACTTCTGTTAAATGATCAGAATTATAATTTTGACTTTTATTCTTATAAAACTATGTCTTCAAATGTTAATATTTATTCTGTATTTTCAGATGGCTACCCCAAAGAAGAAATGATTTACAGATGGAGAAAAAATTCAGTTGAGGCAGCTGATCAGAAATCCTGGAGGCTTTATCAGTTTGACTTCATGGGCCTCAGAAACACAACAGAAACTGTAACAACATCTGCAGGTAGGAATTAATTTAAGGAAACATAACTCTCAAAAAAAAAAATCTTATTTTTTCCCTGGTGTCTGAAGCATAATCATGTCTTTAATGTAGAATTTCATCATGTTTATGTTTTAACTAGTTATATTAGGGCAATCATATACCTCAGTAATATTTGAGACAAAACAACTGATTCAATAGTGAAAAATATTTTTAATGTTTTATTGGGATGGAAAAAGGATCATGAGAATTGTCTTATTTTTTAATCAAGATGGCATTTACATCATGTTTATAAATTTAACTAGGATTCCCACTATCAACCATATTTATATAAACTGATTTTACTAATAATGAGAGTTCTACAACTTTCCATATGCATAATATGAATAAAATATTATTGAGAATCTACACATAAAAGAAGCTGCTGTGAAATGTCCTTTGAATTTTAATTTCTAGCTTCTTCCTTTCCTTTACTCTAACCTTTATTTTGAGCTTTGTATTTCTTTTCCAATATACTGAACACAATAATTATCCATCAGTTTGATTTTATTAAGTGACCATTAAGTGCATAGTATAAGGCATGTAGTTAGGTAGAAAGAGATGTTTCCTCTATTAGCATATTTGAATATTTTAGGGATTTTTGTTTGTTTTATAGGGTTTTTTTCTTGCTTTGTTTTATGAGGGTTTTTTTGCTTAGTTTTGACTACTTATTTATTCCTATGACCCACTATTTTGCAACTAGTTTCTTTTGCCAGTGTGTGGGGCACAGGTGAGGTTAGAACCAACATTTCTACTGGTCTTATTATTAATATGAATAGCTTTTAAAACTTCGTAATACTTTGTTCCATCAATGACTAAGATTAAGATGTAAACTTTGATAACCACTGGTTAATATCTTTAAAGGATAGTCTGAATTCTGGATAGAGTTGAAAATATAGAATATTTACACATTAAGAAAAGTCTGAAAAGCTATCTGATTAACAGAGAAAAAAACTTCCCTATAGGTGCCATGGTGATAAAGGTGAGAAATACCATCTGTGTTTAAATATTAAACAATGATAAAGTTAAAAAAATAAAGAATCATAATTTATTTAAATAATCTGTGGAGACAGCAAAAAGGGAAGCGTTTTAGAGAGACTTTTTCCCAATTATGAGTCACCTACATTAAGAATGTAATTCTAGGGGCACCTGGGTGGCTCAGTGGGTTAAGCCTCTGCCTTCAGCTCAGGTCATGATCTCTGGATCCTGGGATCGAGCCCCACATCAGGCTCTTTGCTCGGCAGAGAGCCTGCTTCCCTCTCTCTCTCTGCCTGCCTCTCTGCCTACTTGTGATCTCTGTCAAATAAACAAATAAAATCTTAAAAAAAAATGTAATTCTTCTTCTTGAATGGTAGAAATGCACTAGTAGACCTTTCAGTATAAGGCATCCCAATAAGGGTAACTAAATAAGGGGATTGTTCTAGCATTTAAAAGCTAAAAAAAAAAAAAAAATTGCCAAATGTCGATTCTGTTTTTCCTTTCTTGGTGTTCTCTGAAAGATGATGTTAAAGGATAGGAAATTTCAGAGGAAAGTAAAGCACAGCTGTTGTAGGGTTTTGAAATTAACTGTAAGAGAATACCAGCACAGGGAAGCAACAAATAGAAGGAGCTGTGGAGTCAAGGTAATAGTCTGAGTGACTGTATGCTAGGTGATACTTTTACCAGATAGAAAACCCATTCGGAACTCAGGTTCAACTACCCTATGCTTGAAAAATCAATACTCAAGGGGCGCCTGGATGGCTCAATGGGGTAAGCCTGTGCTTTTGGCTCAGATCATGATCTCAGGGTCCTGGGATTGAGCCCCGCATCGGGCTCTTTGCTCAGCAGGGAGCTTGCTTCCCCCCTCTCTCTGCTTGCTGCTCTGCCTACTTGTGATCTCTCTCTCTGTGTCAAATAAGTAAATAAAATCTTAAAAAAAAAAAGAAAGAAAGAAAGAAAAATCAATACTCAAGAGATGTGTGATGGCAGGAGAAGAAAGTTTGCTTTATTCGGGAAGCTGAAACCTGAGACGATGGTAGGCTAATATCTCAAAGATCATCTTCCCTGTCCAGCTGAAGCTGGAAGGTATTAAAGGGAAAGGCATAGGAAAAAGGGTGGGGGAATACATCCAGGAGCTAGTCCTCTGTGGACATGATCCTGCAAAGACTTGCTGACATCAGTAGCAGCTGTTTTCAAATGCAGTCAGACCTTATCTTCTGGGAAAGTTTGGTCATTCACTCCTTGAGGCCAGTGGTCTGCAATTCTCAAGGAAAGTAACTTAGTTCTGCTAGAGATTAAGGGACTTAGTTCCGCAAACAAGGAATACATAAGCTTGAAGCAAGTTTACCCTTCAGATGGGTTGGAGTGCTATTATGTTACTGTTGGTTTAAAAAATATATGGAAGACATTCACTGGCAGCAAGGAGTTTTTGGTCTCACTGGAAAAACATGATAGATATGAGAGACTTATGAACAAACTGGGAATTTATACACCAGCATAACAAATAGACATTATATTAAGTTAAATTGTACTCAAGATGGAAGCAATGTTTAGGACAGTCCTTAATGAATAAGAAATGAATGTTTCCCAGGATTTTTTTTTTTTTTTTGTCATTCCTTTTTCCGTGAACTCAATGAAAGTGTTAGCATTGATGAATGTTCTCCATCTACTCCTCTTCTCTGGCATCCCTTATTTTTATATAAATCTCCACATTATATTGAATCTTGTTAATCACTCCATCTCTTTTAGAAAATAAGCAAAAAAATATGTTCTAAAGAAATTAATCTATATTAAAAAAATTAAACTCCCTTCCCTCTAATAAATCAGATGATACTGTTTGAAGATGAGAGTGAGATATAAATGATGGATTTATACTCTTCATTTCTAAATTTCTTATGAGCCCAAGGTGGTCACCTCCCATATCTGTCTTTAGCAGCCCAGTATGCTCTCTATCTTATTTGCCCAGTGGAAGATCCTGGAGAAATCATTACAATCCCTCTTTTGCACACTCCCTCAGTCCCCTTTCCCCTTTTTTCTTATGTACACCCAACCGTAGTGAAATCCAGTCCTATTCCACACCACAAACATACAGCATTATGGGGGAAAATACTAATAAATAAAAGACACTATTTTCATCACTACTCTCTTTTGAAGGTGTTTTCCATGAATTTCAAGAGAGTTTTGAAGTTATCATATCATAGTATGTGATGGTCCAGTGTTTCTCAATCTTTTATTCATTATCACCTCTCCTAAGGAGTCTTTTTAGGTATTTTAACCACCTCCCTTATAAATATTGATACTACAGATATGCTTGTATATATTTTCATATATTATGGCCTTTTGGAAGGCTACACATAGCAATATCAAAGATTTATCACCTCTCTACCCCCAAAAAAGAATTTTCACTCCCATAGAAATAAATATCACCTCCATTAAAATCCAAACCTTAGTCTGTTTATTCTTTCAGTTTCCTAGATGGGGTTCCTATTTTGTTCTTGGTCCCAACCTCTGACAGCAACACCTTCTTTTACTTTCCACTAGTGATCTTGCTCCTCACTATTCCTGGAATCTTGAGGAAATCAGAGAATGTCCCAACGTCTTTGCCCACCTATTGCAACTTTTCCTTCATAGTGTTGCAGATGAGCTCCCATTGCTTATCCATATGTACACCAGATCCTGTTCTTTTCCCCTACACTAGAGATTGCTCCAGCAAAACTCCCTCTCACTCACAGCATTTTCTTTTTTTTCTTTTTCTTTTTTTTTTTTTTTTTTGCTCTCTACTGGATCTTTACTATCATCTACTTAAAAATAAGCTTTTATTTCACTAACATATTTTTTAAAATTGTTTTAGTTAGGTCTCCAGCATGCAACAAGTGACATACACAAACTAGGTAATTAGAAGTTAATGAAGGGAAGAAACTATGCACAATCTTGCTGGCAGGGCTTATAACTTATTGCAATAATGGATTGTGGTAGGCAGAATGATGGCTCGCAAAGATTTCCATTTTCTAATTCTCAGAACCTGTGAGTACATCATGTTACATGATAAGGGAGAATTAAGGTAGAAGATGGAATTAAGGTTGGTAGTCAGCTGACTTTCAGATGGAGAGGTTATTCTGGATTATTGAGATGGGTTCAATGTGGAAGAGAGTCAGAAGGAAATGTGACTGTGGAAGAAACTCACAGAGAGGTACAGCTATGCTGGATTTGAAGATGGAGGAAGGGACCATCAGCCAAGGCAAGTGGGAAGTTGTAGAATCTGGAAAGAGCAAGGAAATTAATTCTAGAACATCTAGAAGGAAATATTGCCCTACTTATGTCTTAATTTTAACTGAACAAGATATGTGTCAGACTTCTAACCTGAAGAACTGCAACATAACAAATTTTTGTTGTTTCAAGCCACTAAGTTTGTGATCCTTTGTTACAATAACAATAGGAAACTAATATAGACATATTGTAATAATCTCAAACTAGTGGTATCGGGAAGCTTTTACCACTTTACTGAAGAGGAAAGAAGACGGTATGGTTACTGGAATCTGGAGAAATAGTAGAAGTGAGGGGACTGCATGACAACTGGTGTCACTTTCAGCAGAGAATCCAGCCAACCTGCAGCACAGAGGCAGGACAGAAACCTAAGGATACATGGCTTAACCTCCTTTACCTCACATTATCTGTTCCTTCTCCCCAGTAGCCAGAAGCTGAGGCTCAGGGAACTTATATGGTGCACCCTAGGCAGAAGCTTCCTGGGATAAAGCAGGTGGAAAAGAGTAGAAAGTAAGTATGGAGGGGCAACAGAAGGTGCCCAGCATAGTGTTATTCTAATCCTTCATCCTCCACAAGATTATGCCTTATTTGTGCCCTCTGCAGCAAACTCTTCTAAAGAATCATCCTGTCTCACTGACCCAGTACCTCCATGCCAACCTCTTGAGCCCACTCTAGCCAAGCTTTCCTTTTCACTTCTCCACCAGCACTGTTCATAAGAAGGTCACCAGGGACCTCTACAATGA